TTGAAAACAGTCCAAGAAGTTTAAATAAACATAAAACATAAACATAAAGATCCTGTAAGCTAATTTATGGAGAGACGGTCACCAGTTCTGTACATGTTTTATTTACATGTTAATTTTGTCAATTTAAAATCAAGTTAGAGGCCACAAGTCACTCTTTTGTCTTCTGGATCATATATATATATATTTAATCTTTTTTAAACTAAACGTGTGGAGTCTGTTGTTGATATTTTAGCCCTTGAAACTGAAACTCAATTTTTAATCGATTATAAAACAAAGATAGTATAAACAGAGCCAAGCAGAATCTCATTCCATCTATATGTATGATTATGACAAATTGTGGTCATTATTTGCGAAGAAAGACTTTGCAAAATTATCTTCAACAGAATATCAATCTATTGGCTGTTTTTACAAAAGGCATACACTCGTTTTTAAGTTCTATGATCATCAATATCTGTTCATGTTTTTCAGATTATAAGCAGCTGTCCTTCATTATGCCAGGGTTTTCAAGAGCGCGCTTCCTGTGAGCGGCAGCCTCCAAGATCTTCTTCCTTGGTCCCAGCTGGATGCGAATGCCTTTCAGGTCATCATCGGAGCAGAGCATCAGCGCCTCCAGGTCCAGGTGCTCTTTGCTGAATGCAGGAGCAAACTCTGGCAACGAGATGGACGACAAGAATGCATCCAAAGGAGAGGTTTCCTCATCTTCATCATCATCCAGTCCCAGATCTTCTTGGTCCCAGGGCAGCTCGGCATCATCATTCCCACCTAGGCCAGTGGTATCTTCTTCTGCATCGAATAACTCGTTCTGAACGAGGAAACCAAGATTTTCATTGGTTCCACCAGGGATGTCGTCTGACTCCAGCCCCATCTTCTTCATAAAAATCAGACCTCCGAGTCCTGGCCGGTTGAAGATGGACTGTTTGACTTGGCCAGATTCTTCGTTGTCATCATAGTCTTCAAAGTCTGTCATTCCTTCGCCACCCATCATGTCCTCTTCCTGCTCATTGAAGACATCCAGAAACTCTGGGTTTTCAGAGGCTCCCCCCTCCTGTTTGAGGAAAATGACATTTCCGTCTCCTCCTGATCTCTGCAGGGTGCCTTTATCTTTCTTCCCCATCTTCTTCTGCAGTGTGCCTTTAACCCTGGCTGTAAGAGAGCCAGACTTATCAGCAGCTATAAGCTTGGAGAACTGCTCATTGACGCTGTTTATGTTGCCACCGTTTGAGAACCCTGATGCCATGCTGGCCTCTGAAACAGACCCAGTATTTCCTGCTCCTCGTTGGAGTTTATCCATCTTGCTCTGGTGCCTCTTTTTCACCTTCTCGCAGAGTTTCACACGCTTCTCTGCTTCTTTGGTGGCCTCCTTCTTTAGGGTGGCCACCTTCTTTGGATTCTGGTTGGTCTGCTGTGAGGCAGAGGCGTCCAGGAAGCGCACACAGTCCATGCGGTCACGGGAGGCAGCCACATCCATGGCCGTGTGGAATTCATTGTCCAGAGCAAACAGATTGGCACCGAAGTTGACCAGAAAGCTGAGGATGTGCATGTGGCCGTTGCCTGCTGCAAGGTGAAGCGGTGTGTTTCCCCAGATGTCACTCCTGTTGGGGTCTCCTCTGTAAGACACAAAAGAGAGGTTTGATTAAAGTCATGATCTGCAAAGTCTTATCGCTCAATTGACCATGATTCCTAACTAGACTAACTATTACAAGCATGGTTCCAAAATGTAAAAGCACAATCATGAAACCACCAAGTTTCTCTTGTTTCTCTTCATGACGTACATGTCTTTCACCTTTTACGAAAGCCTTTATATTTTCAAAATCCAAACAAATTAATTGCAAACTTATCAAGAAATGAGTAGCCTACATCAAAGTAGAAATCCATCAATACTGGAACATTTAGATTGTCCCTCTTGTTTCTAAGTAGATATGTACCAACCTGATATTTAAATGTCCCTCTTGTTTTCACAACTTAATATTTAACAGATATTTTGCAACATGATACTCCAATAACAAAAAAAACCCTCATGTCTTTAAAGAAAATGACCTCGTAAAGAAAATCTCATAGACCATGGTAATGCTCAGAAGAAATGGTACTTTTTTTTAAAAAAGATACCACTGGCAGAAGAGTTGAGATATAGTTTGAGCTATACTTTTAATCACTTCTTCCCTAGAATTAGATGAAAAGATTGTTACCAGCCTGGTAGCTTAGCCTAGCTTAAGAACTGTGAACAGGTGAAAACACCTAGCCTCGCTCTGACTAAATGATATCAAAATCCCTTTGAAGTCATCTCTTAAGTTCACCAGTGTACATGCTGACATCTGATTTGTTTCATCCAGGTGCAAAATGAAGTGTTGATTGTTGATTGATTGTTTTTTCTTGACAATTTCTGAATTGAAAAAGATTGAATGAGCGTTAGGAGTGATCTCAGGTGTAATTTGTAACCTTTGGAAAGGCAAATGTTAGTATTGTTTTTTTAAATATTTGTAACTACAACGACGCCTGAATCTATGAAGTGAAATGATAAAGCTACAGATAAAAGTGCATTACATTATAACATGTCTGAGGATAATAAGTAAACTATTAAGACTTAAAGTCCTCCAGGGCCGTGCCTCTTTGTCACAGCCATAAAACACTTGATTGCTGTATTCTTGCAGCAACTTGTCATAAATCCCAGCTCATGCTGACGATGAGCAAAGCGGAAATGCTTGAGATAACCCTGTCCACGTAGGTGAGGAGAACGATACACCTTACCAAATATCCTCAAACACCTTTCCTAAATCTAATTTTCAGTGCTACTGTCGTGCTACATATCAGCCTGTCTTTTGTTGAGTTGAATGATGGATGGAGGAGGGGGTGGTGGGGACAGATAAAGGGCTCTTTTGTTTGATGGGATGGATTGGCACAGTTATCGAGAGAAAGGAGTAGAGTGAAGTTTTAGCTCACACTATTATAGGGAGTGAGATTGAATCACTAATACATGTTGTTAAAAAAACAGATTAAGTACTAAAGATGCGATGCTATGAAACTTGAGATCAGTTTGAAGGTGTTTTATATAAAATTTTAAAGTAAAATAATGATTAACATGCATATATGTCTGTCTTTTTATACAAGTAGTCAGACTGAAAGGATACCAAACAACTTACAGAAACTTTACAGCACTAAAGTAAAAGGTAGAAAGAGCTTGTCATACATAAAAGTTGTTTTCATTACTGGATAGACTATATGTGAGATGAAGCAAAGGAAACAGAAAAGATGAGCTTACTCTCTGCTGCATATGAGCTGAAGAGCATCGACATGTCCATGGAAAGCAGCCAGTAAAGTGGGAGTCATGCCATCCTCATCTGCAGTGTTCAGGTCCTTCCTTGTGGCCTCCTTTAAGAGGTCCAAGTATCCATCAATTGCCGCTTTGTGGTACCGAGACATCTCCTCAAAGAAAAAAAAAAAACAGAAAAAGGCCAAACAAATCTGTCTCTTTCCTCCACTTTTTCCTCCCTTCTTACACCAGAATCACAGACCGCCGATCCGAGCAAACAAAGTGATCACTGGGCGGCAACATTTCAGCAGCTCAGGGCCATAAAACAAAAGCAAAGTCCAGGTCACTGCTGTCAGCGGCACAGTTTCCTCCGACATCAACGCTGCCCCAGATCATTACTAAATGAAGAATTGACACAGCAGTGATTTAGAACAAAAACCTGTATTAGTTTCTGCTACTTTATTGAAAGTCTGCTCTATTTATTCAATTAGAAAAAAGTCAGGTATTTGTTTAACCATTTTGCAGCATTTCACTTAATACAATGTGTAGTGGCTATTTGTCCAAAAAATAACAAAAAAAAATCTAAATAAATTAATATCAAAAATAATCAAATGACCACTGGTGCACCATGGGGATGTAATGTACGCAGGCAAAAGAAATCCAATGTCCATGCAAGAGCTGCAGCATTTTGCTGGTTTATTTGAGGAAAACAAAACAAAAGAAAAAGAAAATCGTGGCACCCGCTGCCTCTCTTGCTCTGGTAAAAAACAATAGGCCCACCCAGGTGCATGCTGGTCCTCCACCTGCCTCTTATTTAAATAAATAATAATTACCCAAATACCTAACAAAAATACTAATACATACTAAATTTACTAAACAAATAACTAGCAAAAAAAAGAAAACGTTACCCAAAATCTTTTCTAAATAAAGAAAACGTGTAGAATAATTAAATAATACAACACCACCCAAATATTAGTAAACTAAATACAAAATCTAATTCTAACCCCAATTAAATAGCTCCAACACAATGTTACAATTGATTTAGCAGACGCTTTTATCCAAGGCAACGTACATCATAGAGTAAGTACAACACTAATCCAGTCATACACCGCCACTGAAGCAGCGGAGCAATGAGGGGTTAAGTGTCTTGCCCAAGGACACATCGGACATGCTGCAGCTGGGGGTTGAACCCTCAACCTTCCAGTTTTAGAGGCGACAACTCTACCAACTGAGCCACAGCCAAATAAAGATTCATTTGTATTTTCCCTAAAACAAACATCTAAGTACTTTATCTTAATAATGAGCTATAATTAGATGTTGTACATGTGTTTCAGCAAATGTATATGTTTTTATCAGTTAAATTAGTTATTTTGGCCTTCATTAGATATCACAGCTGAAGAGAGACAGGAAGTGTTGGAGTAGAGAGCGGGGGGGGGGGGGGGGGTGACATGCAGCAAAGGGCCGTGGTCAGACCGAATGTGATAAGTTACTTCTGTTGGTCACTTTAGCTAGCAGCCTCTACCATCAGTGTGTGAATGTGTAGGTGTGACCTGCAGTGTTTCAGCGCTTTGAGTAGTCAGAAGACTTAAAAAGCACTATACAAGCTCAAGTCTATTATATTATTCTATTATCAAATCCAAAGTTCTGTCTTACATAAAAGCGCTTAAAGGTATGAAAAATAAAAATACAGGGAAACTTGTCGGCATTACAGAGGAATACAGATAACAAGAACAGCTCTTTAAATAATTCATTTAATTATGCATATTATTTAAATTGTCCTTTTAATATAACTCTTTTGAATATGCACCTATGCCATTGTATATGCATTTTGAAAAAAAAGTCAGTGCCATGTTGTCTGCACAATGCATTTTTCATTAATTAAAAAAAAAAAAGTATTATAATTGCTTTTATTTTAAAATATCCATGTCTTCTCTTTTCTGTCCAGTAGGGGGGGGGGGCTGTGGTGTGTCTTTATTACGCCAACAGAAGAAGAATGAAGAAAGTCGAGAACATAGACTGTAAATATTACTGGACGTCTTCACTGACTTTTTTTTTTTTTTTTTTGCCACTTTTTGTATTTTCAGTGGATGAGAAGCGAAAGTCTAACTCGACCCCGGTCATTCTGGCGGAGATAGCAAAGGAAGAAGGCCTGTAAGTATGGATATGTGCCGTCCAATCACAGCACAGTCATAAACACAAGCTTCCTGCTTTTACTTTCAATACTCACTAAAGCACAACTACAGTGTTGTTCTAATAGTCAGTAAAATGCATCTAAATAAAAGTCTTCATGGTCAGTTTTTCAACAGAACTGCTCATTAATAGGGTATGGGTCCATGATTGGCAGCTTCAGTTCTAACCCCTAAACCTGCTCTCTCTTTAGGCTGATGATACACACATGACTGAACGCTGACTTTCAAAATGACCCTCCTCCCTTTCTCCCAGTCTGTCTCTGTACAGAGGCTGGTTACCCGTCATCTCCAGTCTCTGCTGCTCCAACTTTGTCTACTTCTACACCTTTAACACGCTCAAGAGGCTGAATGCAGCGGGACAGATCAAGTCCAGACCTGGCAGAGACCTGCTCATGGGGGTCGCAGCAGGTAAATGAATGTACAGTGATGCTTACTGTAAATAATCAGTAATAATCAGTGTTGAGCAATTAATCCTGAAAGATTTTCAGTTCTCAAAGAAATAAAAAAAAGAAAAGTAACAAATGTTCACATGTATGAGTTTCATTTGACAAATCTCGTCCTAGTTCTAGTTTGCGTTAGTTATAAAAACAGGAGCTTTTTTGAGCTAATGATCAAGGCGATGTGTTCAAAAACAGTTTAGAGAGCTGACCGCCTGTTGTTCATGCAGGGGTGGTGAACGTGCTCCTGACCACGCCCATGTGGGTGGTCAACACCCGACTGAAGCTGCAGGGGGCCAAGTTCAGAAACGAAGACCTCCAGCAGACCCACTACAGAGGCATATTTGGTATGTGATATATTTTTATTTTTACACTCTCACAGTTCAGATGAGCTCTTCTTGTTTCTTCAGCGTTATCTAACCTTGCTGTGTCGGGGGGGGCTTTCCCTCTCAGACGCTTTCTCACAGATCATATCCAAGGAGGGTCTAGGAACTCTGTGGAACGGCACTCTGCCCTCCCTCATCCTCGTGCTCAACCCGGCAGTACAGTTCATGATTTACGAGGGCATGAAGAGGAAGGCGGGCAGAGGAGGGAAGAAGGTGAGGGGACTAAAGAAAGATATTGCAGTGTAAAATATGATATTTCAAAATCTACAGAAGTTCAGATCCAAGTCCAAAAGAGTGAGAAAGACAAACTTAAAGGTCTCATATTACCCTACTTTCTAACAGTTTAAATGAGTCTCAGAGCTCCCAAAACATGTGTCTTGTTCTAAATCCACTCTGATTCTGACCCCTCTGTTTCAGCCCTGCTCAGAACAGGCTGTTTCTGTGTCTGTAGCTTTAAATGTAAATGAGCTGTGTCTGACCACGCCCCCCTCTCTGGAATCTTTGTCTCCTTCTACAGATTTCCTCAGCAGAGATCTTTCTCATTGGAGCCATCGCCAAGGCCATCGCCACCACAGCAACATATCCTCTTCAGACGGTCCAGGCCATCCTGAGGGTAAAAGACACCTCGTTACCCAAAGTTTCACTGAGATGTCACAACAGAGTAGTTCCTGTTAGAGGATCTGATGTAGGATATCAAGTATTTTGTATCGTAATCTCCTTTAAACCGAGCAGCAACCTCTGGTGTTGAAAAATGAAGCCTGAGGCGGAAGTGCAAAAAAACTGCATTCTTCGAGGGTCTGCTTGAGGCTGGCCCCAGGAGCCATGGAAGTCACACCTCATTTTAAAAGGCCCTTCTGACATAGTTGGACTGTGGGTTGTGGATTTCTTGTGGGATTTGTCGACTGTAACAAAAGTCTTGAGTCATGTGTTTATCTCGTACATGTTTAACTGTAGATTTAGAAAATGTAAAGTTAGTACTTAAAGTATATTGAGTGGTCTAACATGTAACTAATGATCAAATCATCATATATTGCTGACCATGCAGATATTAGAGGTGAAGTTTATCTTCAGACTCTTATATCAAACAATGATCACACCTGAATAAATAAGGTGAACCTGCTGTGTGCTTCTCCAACAGTTCGGACAGTACAAAGGTGACGGCAAAGGCGGCGTTATCGGAAGCCTCTCGAGCATTTTCTCTCTGCTCATGGACAGAATCAGGTGAGTGAGGTCATGAACAGAAACATTTTCACACAAAGAGCACGCTGTTGTGGATGTCGTGATTGCAGGTGGCTGATAAACACCTCTTCCCTCTCTAACAGGAGGTATGGGGCCCTTGGTTTGTACAAAGGCCTGGAGGCAAAGCTGCTGCAGACGGTGCTGACGGCTGCACTCATGTTTGTCGTGTATGAGAAGATCACGACTGCTACCTTCAAAGTCATGGGCCTGAACAAGAAACTGAAGCACTGAATGAGTTGAGAACAGCAGTAAGTACATTTGTCTTCAGCAGGTAAAAAAAGAAAAGAAAAGAGAATGCCACTTTGTTTGTGTCACAAAAGCGTTAATAAGAGATGGGATTGGTGCCTTTAAATAGCCACAGATTCCCACATTCACCCCAAACATGCAGCAGAACCAGGTCAGCGTGTAATGCCTCTAATGCCCTGTTTTTTTCTTAACCTTTTGTTTGGTTCTTTAAGTTCAGAGTGACCTTAATATTTATCCGCTGGGAATTCTCGGTGGAGATTGTCCCAAGCACTTAATAGGAGCTCTAAACTGGTTTGATTTTTGGAGGTAGAGGAAAGAAAATGTGTTTCACAGAGTCCAATGAGGCTGTGAAAATGTAATTAACCCTCATTTCAGCTGAAATCCCAGACATATGAAGTTTGAAAGCAGAGCTGAAGAGGCTCCATTTTGAATGAAATGGACAATATCGGAGGCAAATTAATATAGGAATTCTTTAAATTTGAACTAATGTTGTAACAAAAGAATTTAAAACCAGTTGCTTTGGGAGAGGAAAAAAAAACCTATTTTTAAAGGACAAGTTAAATGTTTGGAGAAAGAGAAAAAAATCCCTTCCCGTAAAGAGTTCAAGTTATGAGAGACTAATAATAACGCTGTCATTTTGTAAGCGTTTTTTAATGCTAAGAGATTCAATCTAACCAAGTCAGCAGCAGGGGCGCTGGTGGCACGGTAGTTAGTGCGTGCGCCCCATGTACGGAGGCTGTAGTACTCCAAACGGGCGGCCCAGGTTTGAATCCGACCTGTGGCTCATTTCCCGCATGTCATTCCCCACTCTCTCTCTCTTCCTGTTTTCCTACTCTATCCACTGTCCTATCTCTCCAATTAAGGCATAAAAAGCCCAAAAATAAGTCTTAATAAGTTAAATCTTTCTTCGGTTAATTTGTACAAAAATCTGTGAAACCATTGATTGTATATAAAGACGGACGATGCATCCCTACCTCCCCTCTATTGTACAAAAAATGAAGCCAAAATTACATATTGTGCTGGTGATGTCATTTGGAGCCAGAGGCCGTGCAGGAGCGACTGCCCTGTAGAGCCTTGGAATCGATGATCTTCCCCTTCTGCTGACCTAAGCATAAATTTCACTCGCACATAAAACGGCAAAGATCCAGCATTAAGGGGGTGGAGCTTATGACCTATAATGCAGTCGGGCAGTAAGGGGAGCCCCTAATTTTTGGCTTCATTTTGGGGAAAAAACCGGCACGTCGTCCATCTTTTTATACAGTCTATGTGGTTGAAACTAGGAGGGTTTGCAGCTGTTTTCCTAATATTATTTTTGAAAACAGGAATGAATTCGTCCTGACTAAGAACCAGCTGTTTCTCCGTCACTAGCTGTTGCTAACAAAGATCGGTCAGCCACCTGAGATAGCTAAAACGCTCCTGACACACGAGTGGTATCAATATTCTTATCTACATTTTCAACAACAAAGGGCACAAGTGATTTCCCCTAAAATGTGGCTTTTGCTTTAACATAAAGCAAAGGCCAACGAGGCGACTTCATTCATGGATGTTTCCTTGCTTCTGGACCATTCTCCTCAATCCCTGTTTAATGTGTTTACTGCTAATGTAACGGAGGTGAAAGGAAACCTGATGAAATTCCAGCCAGATCAGAAACATGTTTTAATGTGCAGACTTATGAACTCTTTATTACACACACAGTAGCTGTAAGAATAAGGCTAACAGTGCAGCTCTCCCATTAATATGTATGAAACTGTGTACAAAGTACTTTCTCAGCCGTATGGTTTGATTTAAACAATTTTAAAACATGAATGAAATAGAAATGGTAATAAGTACTTAACCTTAAACACTAAGTGAACAAATACTGCAGTGGGTACAGTGTACCATAAAAAACCTGAACTATGATCTGCTGTTAGTGCTTTTATGACTGTCGATGATTTACACAAACTCATGCTACACTTAACTGTGCACCGTACTCATGATTGTATCGGTCTGTAAAGAGTTTTTGTCATGCAGTGTCTTCCAGTATACATACCTCTGCATCCTGTTCTGTGTGAGATAGCGAGGGCTTGAAGTTATTTACAGTATTTGTTTTTTATTACAGCGATACTTGAATGTAAGTTTCTGCTGCCTTAAAACGATTTAACGGTTGATTCATTCCTTTTTGTTGCTGTGAAAATGTTTGGTTGATGTCTTAATATGCACGTTTTACTCATGTTAAATCTGACTTTGTAGCATCAGCCTTAAAAAGGTCGTAGACTTTGGACTGTTCGGTGCATCAATGGCCTCCTTAGTAACTGTCACGCTGTTGAAAGGAGACATGACATCACTTACCTGATGTGGGCTTCACCTGTTTTACAACATGCCTCAGGTGAACCCGATGATCTAAAAGTCTTTGGTTTGTGTTTTAGTTATTCAGGCCTGATTCAGACTGTAATGAACCAAGTGTGAAATAGGCATGAACAGGAATGACGATAAGTCAGTGTGGCATTATGACCAAATAATCTTTGTCTAATGATAACTGTACTGTGTTGACTTCTGAACTCAACGCTTTGTAATAACAGAGGACAAGGGCAGTGGAAAGCAGTTTGTGAGATACGATCTTGGAAATGTTGTTGACCTGAAAATGTTTTGTAACCGCTGATCAAATACTTACTTGAAGTCATTGTCTTTTATTGATATCATGAATTTTTTTTTAACACTCTTTCCTCTTTTGTTTGAATTGACAGAGTATTGTTTGGGCTTTAAATTATTGTTATAACAAAAGAATAATAAAGTGTGACCAAAAAAAAACAAAACGCTTGAGCTCTCTTCAGTGATTTATTTAAAATCTCCACATGCAGGTAACGTTGTCACCGCTGAACGAATAAAAGACAAAAAATGCAACCAGAGGAACATGTAGTAGAACATCAGTGGGACACAATGTGCAACAAATCCACAGAGTTTGGTAAATACTCCTCCATTGGAGGCTGAAATGAAAAGTCACAGTTGGTCTGTATCTTGTAAATCAGGACTGATGCTGTTAGTCTTGACTTCTGGTGATCCCCTCCAAATACCACCGAGGCAGAAAGGAGTACTGGGAGTCTCTGTGGATGGAGAAGGTCACATCTCTGTGGGGCTCGTAGCAGAACAGGTACACCACGCTGGAAGGGAGACAAAGGAATCAGCAGCTGAGTCTCATTTCAGGGGTAGCATCCTTCAAAGGACACAGTCTTTATAGCCTGTGTGGAGCGAACTGAATCGAGACGGTCTACCAAAGATTTCCAATTTGCCTCACCAGCTGCCGCCACTGTCGCCTAGCAACCTCAACAGCAGCACGTGATCGAGCTAATGTAACTTCACCTTCATTTGGAGGTTCAGGGCTCCTCGTGTTTTTGGTAGCTAATGTATTTGTTTCAGTTGAAACCAGTCACCTACATTTAAAAGTGACGCACTCAGCCGCTTTAAAGTCTGACAGCTCGTTCGAATAGACATGCAATGAATCTCAGGATACAATATGTTAGGCCACAGAGGAACCTTTGAAGGAGCCTTCAAAATGGGACATCCTTCAACAGGCCACTGAGACTTAATCGGCCTTCAAATGCGCCCTCTGAAGGATGCAGTCACTAAACTGGGACCCAGCCTTTAAAGCTCCTGTGATGAACTCTCAATTTGCGTTGATTTTGGCGCCCCCTGTGGACAAAGCTACATGTCTTTTTCCTTTTTGCTGATCATGTGTAAGAAGTATTTTCTGGGTAAAAAAGTAAATCTCCTGACTTTTGACAGTCAAACCGATCACTCACTGTGGATCTTTGCCGTGGAAAATGTCAACAAAGGTTGTTTCTGCGACAGGATGTTACTCACTTGGTCTGACTACCTACCGACCAGCAGCCATTAAAGGCCTTTAAACTTCAAAGAAATTAACAATCTTGATGCTCACGTCTTGTTTTTTCTTTTTTAAGTCATATAGAAGCACAAGTTTTAATTTCAGTCTGTCACATAACCATTTTAAAAGTCCTCACAGGAGCAAAACGTATGCAGCCTAACTGAACAACAAACTCACCTGGGATTGTCTTCAGTAGCTGTTTGCTTCACAAACGAGAGGAAATCACAGCAAAAGTTCATACACACTGTCGGCTTCCAGCAGTTGTGTTCATTCTGTCCAGAAGAATAAAGAAGACAGAATGTGCAAACTTAACATATAATATAGTGATCTTGTAATTGTGCTGCGTTTTCAGTGAGCAGCTGTTTGTTTCTGCTAACATCTTCTCTGTACCTTGATGAGATGTGACATCTTAGAGATGGGAAAAGTCTCCACACCGACGACCACTCCTTCATGATCCCTGAAACCGGCCACAACCCGAGGGACCCCGGGGAGAAAAGACTGAGCCCACCACTTGATCAGTTTGAACCTGAGGAAGGCAAACATCCCTTGTTAATAAATCAGATATCCAACCAGGAGAATGTCATGAATAAGTGAGCGACGTGAGGTTTCACTGTTTCAGCATTTCACCTGTGGAAGTTGCTGCGTTGTTTCGGGGTGCAGATCTCCGCAGAAGTCTTCAGCTCGACATAGCACGCAGGAGCAGCCGGAGCCTTTGGGTCTTTATCCCGGCAGTCCACCTCCCCGGAGAACAGGAGTCTGTGATCCGCAAGCCGAGTTTGTACCACGGTGCAGAAGGCCTCATTAGTGTTCACCACTCCGCCCGGGTCAGGTGAGCTGTGGACGTCATCTGCAGGGAAGGTCAAAGGTCAACATCTGCTTATGAGATGAGATGAGATTCAACTTTATTGTCATTACACATATACAAGTATAGAGTAACGAAATGAGGTTTGGCATCTCACCAGAAGTGCAAATAAGCAGAAAGTGCAAGAGTCTGTGCTATGTACAGTAATTACAAAATTTACAGATGTAGACTAAAAAAAGTGAATTATTAG